AAAAAYATTGATAGCGATAGTAGCTTGGGTTAGTGCATGCTAGTCGTGCTTCCTTGGAAGTGTACCGTTAACTTACAATATTATTCTGAACRGTTTCAGAAACGTTTATGAAKATTTTGAGCTARTTCTTTAAGAATCACCTGTGAATTCAAGTGTGATAGATATTCATTGAGGTTGTACTTAAGCACATTATAATAAAGATTTTGTTCTTTAAAAAACTGGCGTTGTTAAACAGGTTTTGCCAATCTATACAAGCCCAAATATTTGCTGATGGCCAAACTGATGTTGCTCGAATAAATTTCACTATTTTAGAGGTACAATACTTCTAAAAGGAAATTGGGGAGATTCTTCTAGATATTTTTCTTTTTTTCTCAAATAATTACATTAGAAAATAGGTCTTTGGGTCCTGAAATAAGACATGACGATGTTATGACGTTCATGAGATGCACCAATGGCATGTTGCCTTTCATCAGCATCTAAGATTAGGTTTATTCTTTATCATGAATCTGAAAAATGAATGACATAATAGAAATTGTCAAAATAATCACCACAATTTATCCCAAGTTAGGAAATTATCATAATGTTGCTCAGTCAATAATATTGGTGATGTTGATTGAGAATATTTGCAATTGGGATAARTTTCCATTCACTGTGAAGGAATTATCTATTCTCAAAATTCCAGTGCAAGGCACTTAAATCTGTGTGTACATTGAATGCCTCTAATAATGATTACTCACTAAGGAATAACACAAGGCTATTCATGATTGTACAGGAATTTTAAGGCAAATTTAAAATCATTGCTAACTACCAACTAGCAGTCATTTTCTTTTCACAACTGATGGAAAATCACTCATTAGTATGTCAAGGCATACAATATACTCACTTGTCTAAATTTGTCCAGAATGTATTGATTGATGCCTTGTCAAAATGTCTTGTATTTCGGTTTATCTGTTATAAAAAGCATAGTTAGTAAATAAATAAAACTTTTCAATTAAAAGTTCGATCATGAATTATTACAGAGGACATATTTGATTTGATTAAAATATATTCCACACTGTACCCATAGGTCTGGAGTACCAAAAAATGTCAACAAAAAAACAAGCCTATTTATTTCTTATTGTTTCATTTATTTTAGTTTTGTTTCTAGTAATTATATACTGACAAATGAACATATTTGTGGCAGTTTTTCTGTAAACTCAATGATTATCAATACTGTATTTTCACTTACCGTTAGGATTTGAACATCCCATTTTTGTACATTACCATCAGTTTTTGCATCATCAAACTTCAGATAGAAAGCTTTTACTATAGAAAAYAAYMATATTTTAATGGCAGGACCTCACAGCAACCATGTTAATATACAAGTACAATGAAATCGTTAAGATGACAAAATGAAATGTCAAGYTCCATTAAAGACAACATGTGCCATATCATTGATTTAATGCCAGTGGATAATTTGGCTCTCTTGCTTTAGTTTCAACCTTACTTTTTGTAAATATATCAGTAGGAGATCCATCAGCAAGAAGCCATGGCCAACCTTTAAACTGCCATGTTGGTCCTTGCACAAACACTGCTACCACACGGTTCCTGAAAAATATGGAAATGTCGAACACTTTGTGATTAAATTTAACCATTGTGCTTTTGGAACGTTTTCTGATAATATAATTTTGAAAGCAATATCTGARATATTACAGKTGGTAATGACACACTGATATTGGCYATAGGAAATACTAGGCCGCTCACCAATCATTAGGCTGCAGTCGTGTGGTACTGTCTACTACACGGTATGGTACTGTAACTGATGTGGTTGCAACTGTGCCTGAATGTTGATTTTGAATCACTTCTTTACGCCTTTGAATTAAGACTTCATTCTCTCTTCTTGCTCCTGACTGTTTCTTGTCTTCAGTGGATACATACCTTAGCAACAAATRWAAGATCTCTTTATGATATTTCYGGTATAATATTGAATYTTGCTGAGGTTACAAGGTGAAATMTTCTTGCACAACTTGAAGTMCAARCTRGCTGCAAATGAYGTTGCTAAATAATTGCAGTTTAGCAGTGATTATCAAACCATGRTTTTRGCTACACATAGCATTGCATGAAATTGAACTTAGGTACTGTACTTTTAACAGCATAGCAACAAAACCATTACACAGTGTACCTTCCTGTTCCTGCCAGCAACCTTCCTCACAATATTTGAGGCAATTTTACTCTATACTCWCTATACCTCAATAACTTCTGTAACACTGTCTAATAATTATTATTTATCCAGCAATTTGCTTCATATCTTTCAGCATGTCATAAGTGTATTTTATGCTAACATTTTTTAGTTGGTAAATGTTTTATCTTACTTGAAGTCTTGCAGCAAGTCTTTGACATTGTACAATGTTATCAACGATGTTGTTCCTGCTGGAACTATGATAATTGGAGTTCTTGACTCTGTGCAAAAACACAATTATTTTAAATACTTTGACTTGTTTGCAACAAACAATAATTAAAAATGAAATAATGGAAAATACTATTTATATTAAACTAAATACCTCGCTTAGCTGGCTTTTGCTGAACTGAAAAAAGAGACATGGTAAGAAATCTAATATATTTATGCTGTTCAAACTGATATACCAATATTACTGCATATATCATCTAGATATCATCACATTTATTGAAGACACTTACGGGGTCTCAAAGCTTTAGAAGGTTGGGTATGTGGAGAGGGGCTTGGGGCTGGTCTCTTTACAGGTCGATGTGCTCCTTCCTATAATTTTAAATCAATAATTAAAAACAATTTTAATTTCATTTTAAAATCAGTTAAGATTGAAGTTAAGACCATAATAAACTGATTTGCAAAATAAACTAACTTAGACATCATTWAACTGTAGAAAACTGTGCTGACATTGCATAAAAGCAAAAGCTAATTCAAAAAATCATAGTACCTTTACGTGCTCCAGACTGAGGCCATGGTATGTTCTAGCAGTATCAATCTTAAAGCCCTCAGTTTCTACAAKATCACCAATATTCAATGGTTACAATGATGACAAGGTTAATTACATATGGGAGAAAATTMGCATAAGAAAATCAGCAGTTGACAAGCTGCACTTGTAAAATTAATTAATCAAAAWTATTAATCATTATGTTGAAGCAGATCAATACAGGAGATGTGAACATTTATTTATTGTTTCCGTACCTTCCTTTCCTCTAAATCTCTCTTGATCGTATCTGTTGTAGGCCACAGGCACAACTGGTTTTCGTTTAGCTGGATCCTAATATGTTCATGTCATTTTACAGTCAACAATTTCATTGGTAGACAAAGTTGGCAATGTAAGAGTAAATCATATAAAAGTCATGTGTAAAAATTTATTTTTAATAAAATTAGAAAGAACTTGCAAATAGCATTCTCCAAAATCTAGAAGAAAAATTACCCCTCAAAAATCAAAGCTAAATACTTACAGCTGCTGTTGATGCATTGGAGGGCTGGCTTTGTTTGTGTTTGCCTTCCTCCCTGGCCTTAACAGATGACAGAATGGCTAGCACATTTTTAAGGAAATTCTASAAAGAAAATAACACATAAAAGTCTAAGAATTTCTCATGTTACTAATACTCGATTAAATAATATAAATTGATTTTAGAAGTAATATTTTTCTGAAGCTATTACCTTGCCAGAGCTTTGTAAAACACTTGTTCTAGTCCTTAGTAGTCGCTCTCTGCTTACAATGTCTCTTGTAACGTCAACTTCAGCATCAACAAAGCTACGTTGTTTCTAAACAAGTAGTATAGATAATGAATTGCAATTTACCATTGATAATAGATATTTAATACAAATTTGTTTGACTTAAAAGTCATTTTTTAACTTTTCTGATAAGAAAACAATAGATGATTATATGGGGCAACTATATGAGCAGCTCCTCTTGGCAGCTTTTGATATTTGCCTTTCATGGAGATTGGCTATTTGGTTTCAATAAACAAGACAGCTTTGTACAATGTAGTTATAGCTGAGGACCTTTTTAAGACAATGCCAAATCCATCAAAAGCTGAACTTCTCTTACCAGCAAGTCTGGTTCCAATTCATCATCCACACGAATAGTTGTCTTTTTCTTTGCCAAACGTTTAGCTTTAATTGCAGCTATTTTCTCTTTAGTCATAGCTTCACTTAGTGATCTATAATAAAATGATTGAATCAGTAAAGAGTCACTTGATAAATCAACTTTTATGTCAAACAGTCACTCAATCAGTTACTGAGACAGTCATTGAGTGATAATTCAAACAAGAGAAATAATTATGAATCAATCAGACAGTCAGTAAGCACTGATACGTAAGTGCAAGTCATTTCATTAGACAGCAAATTACTATTGGTTAACTGAGAGTCATTTCGTTGGTGATATAATCTTGTCAGTTTTCATTCAGTCAGTTGAGGCACTCAGTTTTGATTTGAAAATGAAAAAATAATATTCGTACCTCATCTGATCTGTGGTAACAGTAACTTCTTTGTGACCTTCAAGACGTGCCTCAAGCTTCCTCTGTCACATTGAAAACAATAAAGACATCATGAGCTTTTAAAAATACATGTAATACAATAACATTAATAATATACTAAAAAAATATAATTGAATTACCTTATCAAGAATGACTTCTTCAGTCTTAAAAAAAGAACAACATAATAAGTAACAATAAATATATTGCTATAAAACTTTATTATAGACAAACATGTACACAACTTTGCAAGTGTTAGTTACGGACAAAAAAAAATGCCAATATGTGATGTATAAAATATGAGATCTTTKTGGGCATTTAAAACTGTGAGCTACAAGCGAGAGAAATTCATGTCACACTTCACTAATAAAATATTGGTAAGAGTAAAAGTATTGAGAGTTAAGAAMACAAAAGCAAACTCACCTCAACTCTAGGCTTTTTGAATTCTCCAACAGAAGAGTCATCACCAGCTCGCTTTGCTAAAGTCACACAGTTAGATTAACACTGACACAACATGTAATATTACTGTATTAAAGTCTATATTTTGRATACCAGCAATACAAAATAAAAACAATAGCAATATTATTGAACTAATCTTATTATTTTCTTSTAGTTTAATAAATTGTGTTCATAAAGAACTAAGGTCATTCAAAGGATTTTCCARTTCAGTAACAGTACAAACTGGTACACAAAATAAAATACTATTTTAATTTTGTACAATTTCAAGAATWTAAGTGCATTCACTCTAAATTTTGGTAGTTACATGTAAATAATTGCAAATTATTTTTTAGTTGTGGGGAAGCAAAGGAATTATTTATTGTTTCCTCTGAGGCTAGTCTTCAGTCTTTTTGTGTGTGATGRAAGATGGCCATTTTAGTCCATTAAATAGTTGAGTTTTCTTTTACACTGTGTTAGCTTCAATTGTGTGCAAAATATTCAGAAATTTAGATAAAACTTGTGAATTTTCATACTATTTGTCTTCTATAGTCACGGATATCTTGCATTGCATGTGCTGTTAGTGTTAATAAAAGAATTTATTACATGGTTTTGAGGCTAACACAGCATAAAAGAGATCTCTAAAATGGTTTATTACCTTGAGCACGAGAAGCAGAAGACCTCTGTGTTGGCATCTCCAGTGGAGCACTTTTATCAATACTTGCRGATGTATCTACAAAAATCATTCATAATAATCATTCAATAAAAAACACTGACCATACACATCATTTAGCCATCTGTTTTCCAATTAAATTTCAATAAGAATTCATGAAACTGTATCCCATAGCTAGATGAAGCTACTCCTTTTTGTGGGTGAATCATYTTTGAACCACGGTATGAACCTAACAATTTTACAAAACTTCTATCAATTGAATAATGTATTCTTACCTGTATCGCCATTGAGATAACTTAGTAGAGCCTAAGCACATAAAAAAGCAATTGCAATAATTATATAACCTGACAGTGTAAATTAATACAATTATTGTGGGTATTATTTGGAAAAGTTATCTAGCTGTAAAGCAAGTGTAATGTACCGATATTTTTAATGTAGTATTGTATATAATTTATCTTTTTTTACAACAGTTATTGTGTCAAAACAGATTGACAGGACTGTTTCATGAGACACATCAGCTTTGTCCAGTTCTAGGACAAAGTTTGTCTTGTTTGTCTTGATTGACTTTTGCTGTGGGATGTAGAGATGCAATGATACAAGCATTTGTATTAGCTCACATATAATGCTGCAACAAAGGACAGCCAAATGAAACACCCAGGCAAGGCACAGGAAAGTTTACAATACTTACCCTTCTGTCTGGCAATCTTACTACAGGAATCTTTGCAGCCTAAAAAGAAAACAAGTCTTAAAAAAAGAAATCCCTTTCTGGCAATATCCGCAAAAAATGAGATTACATTTCTTTCACACGATGCAGCTCACACTAGTTTACTGCTATTTTCCATAATTATGCCATCAAAAGGTCAATCAGTACATAAAAACTACAAATAAAATGACTATGCACATGCGATCCCCCCAAAATAACACAGTTATAGAGGATTATTGCAAAACTGGTAAATGGCAGTAACAATAAGTAGAGAAAAACAATTATAACTCACCACAGCACGTTGTACATAGTTAGGATGAGATAAGTGAACATTTTTCAACAGAAAGAGCAYTGATTCAAGAGTGTAYTACTCTTTCGGTTGTGACCTTTACAAAACAAACATCCTGTTAGATATGGAAAAGACCGATCGATAACAACAGATCAATWATTAAATGTCATTGAAAATGGACCTTTTTGTAAAGATAAAGTTGAAACCGTAAACTCTAAATGATAAAAAGCACACCAAAGACTTTCCAGAACGACAGAATTGTTAGAGGGTCAGTTTCAAAGACAAACAACTTTCTATAGATTCTTGTACCAAAAATCGCAGGKAACTTACTTGATAATTACGTAGTTAGTTTTAGCAGTCTTTGGAAAGGAGAACTCGTCGAATATAACATCGTCTGCGATCTCCTGAATCTCTTTTTTGTTGGTGTTAAACTGACGCAGCAAAGACAGAGGGTCCGCCATGTTGTCTTGTAACACAATTTATGGGTGCCAGGCTACGTAGCCGCCTCGCTCTGAAGTTTAGTACAACAGGAAACCCACCAAGCTGTCTTCAAAACCGTGAGTTTTAGAGGTAATCGAGGTAATTGTTTAATTATCTAACGTTACAAGATAAATTTGAACTAGACGCAGTGAACTCGGGGTGTTTGATATGAAAAACCTCGGGATTCCTATAAAATCAAATTACAATGATTTTTTTTAAATGAAACTATTAATTTCAAAGGAACATCAACAAGTAATTTAAGAACATAGAGCCGCTGACGAACTGGTCCAAATTCAAATGGCATCATTAAAAGACCCCACAGTCCCAGGACACTTCCGATCCCAGCTGTCGTTCAAAGATCGTGCGAGAATCTAGCATCGTTCAAAGATGGTGCGAGAATCTAGTCTCCTCGCAGCCGTGTTTTAAAGTTTCGGTCACGCGTCACGTCCGGCAAGGTATCTAAAAACTCGACGGCCTTGTTTTGGGCAAAGGCCAGAATTAACTCATATTTGCATAACCGGAAAAAAATAAGAGGCTCTCTCAACGTGTTTTGCTTGAGCTACGACATACATTGTTACGACAAAATAATGTGGTGCTTTTGGTTTTCGAATTTTATCTTTTTATRGACTTTTACTCAGTGCCATAACTTCGTCCAGAAAGATATATTTGTCGTGGACGGCATTTTATCAGACGAGAAATTGCAAGATATCCTTGCACGACTAAATCAAAATGATATTCCTTGGATCTTTCACAACGTGGCATCTGCTGAAAGGTCTCATCTCCTCTTCGATTCGCATAGAGCTCAAATCAGCCACAACTGGATATCAAGGATTGTTCCTTCTCAGTTTACAGATGGTGATTTCAAGCCTGTCTGGGAAATACTGAAGCAACAGGTTCTTACAAACTTTGGTATTGATAAAGCTGTTTTGAATCGCGTGGACGCTCAGATTTCTACCCGAGGAGACACTGTTGCGACGTCTTCTACAAAATGCTCTGGAGATGATCTACTAATGGTTTTGTTTTTTGCCCCAAAATGGCAGAAAAATTCATATGGAGAAATGGTGATTTATGGGAGAGATGGAGAAATACTGAAAGCTTTCCATCCAAAAAATGGCAGGGCTGTTTTGCTATCTTGCAAATACAGCTTTGTATTAAAACCACCTTCAATGGAGTGCAAAGACAGGCTTCGCACAATAACATTTCACATTTCCTCCTCAAATGTATCATCAACACAGCTTTATACACAGGAAGAACTCATGAAGTTCATGAGAAAGTCGTTTGACTTGCATTCCTTCCAACCTCTTAAATTAATAACTGTTGATTATTCTAAGTTGGATGTTGCCAAGCATGTTACACAGCAGTTTGTAACTTCAAAAGGTCATCCTATCCTAGTATTTGATGATATGATTTTACCAGAAATCCTCAACATAGTTGCAGATATCATGGTGAATGGCACTTATGCTGATGAGCCTGCTGGAGAAGAAAGTTCAGACAATGTACAATGGATACTTGGATTTGAGGTCAATGCATTTGTTCAATCTCCACTGTGGCATTATGCAAAGGCAGTTGTTCAGTATGCTTCCAAACGCGATGGATTCTATCCTTATGATGTTTCGTGTAATAGCATTCGCAGCCATGACACTACCACTATTCATCTAGACTGTGGTTCACGTGAAAATGAATACACAATGCTTATCTATCTGAATAGGAACTGGACAGAAAATGACCATGGTGAGACAGTCTTCTTTGGTTATGATCGTAAGGAGATGGTTTTTGCTGTGAGGCCAAAATTTGGAAGGGTGACCATTTTTCAAGGAYCTATTCCACACAGTGCACGACCCCCATCACCGAAGCGGCATGGTGAGACTAAAATGCCATTGATATTAGCTTCCATGATGTTGTATCTACCTGTTCTACCATTCAGAAGCAATTATGATCAAGCAGTTTACTGCCTGCACAGGGATTCTGATATAGTGCAGCAAAAAATTATGTGGCACGAATGTTCAATTATGCAGCAAAAATTCGTGATTGTGCGGTAAATATACTCATATAAATATTTCTGTTTGTTTTATTCTAGATCCAAGATTTACTTTAGCAATTAAGTTTGCTGCATCAAAGGAAGAAGCATTATCAAAGACTCATGATTTTAATGATGATTAATGAGGTGTACTGATTAATGACTAATATTCCAGCTTAGTAACAACAAAAAATAGTGAAAATAATTACCAGTACTTGTCAAAAATCTTCTAAAAACTAAAAATATTGTTTTACTTTAAGATATGGAGAGTATAAACCAAATGCAACTTAACAGAACTATTTATTACTGGTAGTTGTATTTAATTTTAAATGCATCTAATTATATAAGATTTGTAAAATAGAATTTCAAATAATACTAAKAATAGGTTAGTCTCCATTAAATTAAATGTCCAGTTTTTAAATGGTGATATTTATAAAGCAAATAAATAATATTAATGTTTAGAATAATGTTCACTTTATTCAGGTTTAAACAGGGGCGTGCCTGTAACTGTATCCGCCTAGATTGTCATGGCGCAGACAAGGTAAATAGRTTTCAGCGTACAGCTCAGCCTAGAGATTGCAATTAAGGCATTAATTGATTATTGGACATTACACTYTCACTGCCTAAATTAAAGGGTTATACAAGCCTTTTCTAATCCAAAACACACACTAAACCTCCTGATTTCACAAGCCAGAGAGGATGTATTTGACATATTGAGAGAGATAGTGCAAAAATCAAAATGCCATGACCACATACTGTACTTGTGGCAACCAACCCAATGTGCTGTATGGTGTCAATATTCCAGTCATGTTTCCTCAACAATAGACAATTTCATTTGCCATGCTGTGATCTGTGCCACTGCATGAACAGCCATGAAATCTTCTCCAAAGCAGTGGAATAACCASTGTCAATTTGTTGYGTATCCRGGACATGATTGATGAGAAGGAACTCAGAACTCAAGATGACTTCTGAAGGAAGCAGTAGACTAGCTTCTGGATGCAGGTAAGTATTCAAAGATATAGGATATTCACAGATATCCACTTCCACCCTGGTTTACCTGTCTATGAAAATGTCTTCAAAAGTTACATGAGTCTAGACCTTGACCTTTCATCGATGTTTCAGGTGCAAAGAGAAAAATATAATTTATCAAACATTGATTTTTATTAATAAGACCACGTATATGCAAACTTTCTTAATAGACTCTAAAGAAAGTCACAAGTGCTATGGTTTTTACAATATTAAGTAAGGTAATCTTTGTACAGAGTTAACATTTTGAAAAAATTACMTATTTACTGCTTTGATTTTCTCTTTGACTTTCTTGCTTTYTGTTTCTTGGTCTTGGAGTCCACAAGTTGTTGGGAGTATCTTTTAATTGCATTTCTTGACAGGACATCTTCATCTTCTCCACTCTCCTCATCATCTATAATAATACATCAAGTAGATAAAACATGAGATGGAGTTTTATTACAATTGATATGTGGATGAATGTCGCAGAAGAGGTATTACCAATAAATACTGCAATGTATGCATCTATTACCTTCATAAGCTGTCATACGTTCTGTAACAACTGGTAACTTGACTCTTGTATTGTGCTGAGGCAACTTATTCTCCATAGTAGAACGGAACTGAAAAATTGACAGAAGTTTTTTTTTCTCATTTCATAGGTAAGTGTGGAAGAACCAAATTATTAATTGTACGACCATGAGAATTTAGGTGCAGTATTGCTGAAATATTCTGCAACTCAATCAATCTATTATTTGAATAACAATGAATAATATTTTGTGAATTTTGCTAAAATGTTTTGGAACACCACAATGTTGTTTTTCTACTGCTATCAAGAATATAATCAGTCCCTACCTCAAGATCTTCCATTTCTTTCATAATATCTGAGATATCCTTTCCACCCAGGTCATCCATGAGCTTAAGGAGCTTTTGTTCACATGTGCCAAGAAGATCCAGAACAAATTCATCTGAAGTTGGTGATAATTGTGCTTGTGGCACCTGACCTTTTGGCTGTACATAAATCAAGTGCATGAATTAGAGAAAGATTGCATATGTTCAGAAATACTTTCTTATCATGTAAATTGATACATGTACATGTAGCACCTTTTCGCAGCCACCCCTTTGTGGCTAGCAAATATTTTTGCATCACTAGTTCTAGTTTTCTGACTGTTTGCTTGAAATTCTTAACCACAACTTTCCATACCCAGGTTCTCTGACCACCAATAAAGGGGTCGAGGAGTCGTTGAACCTAGATCGATTCTTTTATGTTTTGTGTATCCTTGGTTCAATACTTTGTTTGTGGTCATTGAGCCTGAGTATGAAATATCATAAATTCTACATCTAGTGAATACTGTTCAGTGATTGGCTGTTTCCATTATTGACAGCATTAGAAAAATATAAATATAATGATCTACAAATTAGCATTTCAAGTTACGAATAAGTAATACAGGAGATTTTTTTGTAATATTATACAGTCAAAATAACAACACATACAGCTTTGAGATGTTGTAGTTTATCAGCAAGGTGTTCAATTCCAGCTTTGACATTGACAAGTGTGCGACTTGCATGTTTCTGACGTTGTTCAGCCTCTCTGCACTTGGCTGTTTCCTCATCAAGGCGTTGTTGGAATTCTTCTAACATTCTCTGTCCACTAAAAGTAAAACAAAGCATTCGTATAATACTGTATATCTTGATTTTGGAATGATTGTTGAAGAGAAATGACATAATATATAACTTCAAGAAGTTATCCATCAAATAAATCAAATTAATTAATTAATTAGTAAATACCTTGACAAGCGTGCCTCTCCAGAATATTTCATTTCTTCATAATCAACTCTTAATTTTTCCTGCAACAACAAAGTCCTTATTAGCTTTCATGAATGATTTTCAAACCTGCAAAATAATGCTTCTTGTACCTTTTCTTCCTTAAGCCTTACAAGCATTTTCTCATTATCTGATTTAAGCTGAAGTAAGTGTTTCTGAGTGTCTCCTTGTGCAAGGAATCTCTGTACAACTTCTTTAATGTCTGATACTCCAGTTGCATCTTTGATTTTGTTCATGGCTTCTTCATATGTAGTGATCTTACGCTCTTGCTCCTCACCTGACAGGGTGGCTTTGGGATCTATTTAGTAATAATTGACAGAGAAGTGAGGAAGGCATTCCGTATAATCACTAATACCTTTATAACTGGTATTTRTGTTTAGACATTCAAATATAAATCAAGTATTACTCTGACTCACCAGTTAGCTCATCTTGTTGCAAAGATGATCTTTGAAGCTGCAATGAAAACCATTCACCAATAGAAAATTATAATGCTATTAACATTTTTAATAACTTTGTATGGTACTTCTGACAAATTCTGTGTCATGGATATTCAGTTGTAGGATTGCTTTCAAGGTAGTCTATAAAAGCCTCTACAAAAAGCAGGTATATCCAAAACGCCAAAAACTTTTGCAGAGTAGGGTAAGTCAATCATCACTTTATCACATCTTAACACTTACTCTTTTTTCTACTTTTTCTGCCTGCTCTTTCTTTTCTTCTGCCTGTTTCTTGTACTCAGCCAATGCTGCCTCTCTCTCTTTCTTGGATTCATAAACAGACTGCTCAAGTTTTGTCAGTTCTGCTTTAGCAGCTTCTCGTGCAAGTTGGGCATCATTGTTGCTGGCTTTAAGTTCATCTAACTCATCCATGGCTGCCTTCAGCTCTGCTTCCCTTTGGTCAAGTTTATTTGGCCAACAAAGACATTCCTCTTTTAGACAATCAAAGATTTGGTCATAGGTTTTCCTTATTCTTTTCGCTTCACTCAACTTCAGATTCATTTTGTCCAAGCTGTTTTCAACCATTCTCAATTTCTGTATCAAGAAAAAAACAATAATGCTTAGAATTGTCCAAAACATATGTAAGTCATACAACATCTTAGATGATCTATTGAATACTGCAAATTCAGACGTTTGCTAGTTGGTACAATGTGTTGATATCATTATATGTTTAAATACCTGTGCATCTTCAGACTCTCCCGCATCTGTATTGACAGCTTCTTCTGCATCTGTAACCATTTGGTCATATTCTGTTTGTAARTCCCTAAGCTTCTTTTCTTTCATGTTTCTCTGGTGTTTTAGTGCATTGAGCTTCTTGATYCTTTCACATACTTGRTGATCAAGCTTATTTATGGCAGCCTTTTCAAACACAAAGTCAAAGTRAGTACACAACAATCACGGYAAAMGACAGGAAAACTTAAGGCTGTTGATTCTTACCCTTCCTGACATTCCACGCATGGCGCAATGTCTTTGAGGATCTCTTGCCTTGAAAGCATCATTGATGACTTGTTCATCACCCTACAAAAACAAATCATTCAGAATTTTACCTCTGAATTCCTTTAAAGAAGACTTTATATTATTAAACTTGGAGTTTATCAAATTTCACAAATCAAGAATATTGAACTGAATCTTACAGCTTCTTTCTTAGCAAGGTCACGTCTCAATTCTTTGTTGGTTTTGCTGAGATCTGCGATGGTCTCRTTYTTCTTTTTCATGGTCCATTGTGAACTTTCATAGTAAGCTTTCCTATCACCGTCTGGTCAGTCGTAAAAATGAAAAMAAAATAAWATATTTGGTGAATTTTTCATTCATAATATATAATTCAAGAAGAAATTGGTATTACTRAAAGAATTGATAGTTAAAAACTCAATGTCGATAAAATGCAAAATCGAATTTTGTGTCAAACTTCCTTACCTAATAAAGCAAGTTTTCGCCTAAGTTCATCGATTTCCTCCGTTATTCTTGTTGTTCCACCTTCGTGAAGCATTGTAAAGCTTTGTTTAACTTTTCAGAAATATAATTTCTTCAGAACCAAGAGTATTTTACGCTACAAACAGGAGGACTTTCTTGTACACAATATCACCAACTTGTTCTATTTTATGAACGGTGTTGCTATAGTAACCTGTATAACTAAATACAATTGCGCGTGACGATTTTAGACATTTCCGCTGACCAAAGTTAAATTTTCATAACAGCTTTTTTGATTGGTCCATTATTTCCTCCATTGACCAATGACAAATGCTGTTCTATTTTAGCGCAATTTTACGAATGTAAGGCCTGGGACTATTGTATTTGTTTCAAACTTTTTGTTGTTTTGTTTGAATGCTACTAAAATGTGTTTAGTATTGATAGATTTAGGGAGTTTTGCTTCCAAAAAGTGCTAGGTAATTTCCTGATTATCTTTGAATTGGCTAAGACGGGTTTTCAAACGAATTGAACGTGAGTGCATTTTTTTTCTACATCGAAAAGATGAATAAACCAAGCGGCGGAACTCCATTACCTGGTAAACGGCCTATTTCAAATCAAAGGACGCCTAGATCTGGAATGAGGTAAAATTGAATTTAGGAAATGCTTYCATGATAATTTTCAATGTAAATTTATGTTCTTTCTGCCTCTCAAGGTTAAAACAGCCTTTCAAGTCACCAGTAAGCATTTTCTTAATTTAGAATGCTTTTAATTTTTTCTTATAGCACAAAAACCTAACTTTGATTTCAATTAAGGTGCAYGCAAAAGAGCAATCAACATCACCTAAACTTAGCCGTGCTCAGGAAATGCTAATTTTGCAGAGAAAAATCGAATCCTTGGATGAGGAAATCTCTTTACTTCAACAAGAGTGAGAATAAATGAATTTATTAAGCTTCATAGGATGTCAGTTTTGAAAAAATCTTCTTATTGGCCAATGAGCAATAAACATTCCCGAAATGTTTCAAGGCAGTCAAAGCTTTTCTGTTAGTTGCTGGTTTTCACAAGTTGTCTGCATTTTAATATGTGGTGAAGAGAAATTTGCTTTTTCTAGGTATGATGTTGATGAACTGCAGGAACATATTGATAAGCTACATGAATATAATGATATTAAGGATGTTGGGCAGATGCTTATTGGTAAACTTGGTAAGTGAGGAGGAAACTGTCRGAGAGTAAACAGTTACTTGGAAGGTGGGGGCTAGACCAGTGTGCTGATAGCCCGGGGGGAGGGAGGACTTCCCTATAAAACATGGTAGGTCAAACTCGTCTCCAGGGCCATCTCAGCCGACTCCTTTTCTAGATGGTGGTCGTTGGAGAGATAATCCTAGCGTTCGCTGAACTAAGCCACTTTCTGATTGGCTATTCAATATGCCTTTTCTTATATCGCTCATTATTGGCTGTTTATGTTCGTCTATATGTCGGGATGTGTTCGACAGTGTCGGTATGTCCGGATAACCGTTAGGTCTTTGATCGGTTATTGATTTACCGTTACGATTCGTTCATTGTTTTAATATTCTTTGGAATTCTTGTCAGCTGTCCTCTTATGTCTCTTTTGTGCAATGCATGGTTTTCAGATGCCAGCAACTCGTGTAAGAAATTTAACTTGACAGATGTATTTAGGGATAGCATTCAATGTTATGGAAGACTTCTACTCGCCAATTTCTGCAGTGAGCGGATCCCTCAAGAATTCTAAAATGAACTGGATCTACTCCCGTAGGTAGTCTAGGGGTAACACTGCCAATGACGGAAGGACGGAAGGAGATTTTCAAATAAATCATCAAAACTAAGCAAATACCGACCCACCACAGCTATCCCAGTTTGTGAAACCATTGAGTTCACGTTCTGAGTGCCATTTTGAATAGATAAGTTACTTGATCAAAACCTCTACAAATCTTGGAGGTTTTGATCACGTGATTCCAGCCAATTCCAGGGTCATCTCCCTGACGACCACCATCTTGAAAAGGAGTCGGCTGAGATGACCCTGGGGACGAGGTTGATGGTAGGTATGCTTGACGGACGAATTGAAAAATGACATAAATATGCATAAATTCATTCAGGCATCGATTTCAGACCCTACAAAAACAACCATTTATAACAAGAGAGAAGCTCAAGTTTAYCAAACTGTAGAAAATCAATGTTGATWGATTGTTGAGGTTAATAAAATCTATTTCTTTTTAACACTTCTTCAATTTTTTTCCCGTTCTTRGAAAATTGACCCTAAAAGGTACAGAGTCACGTTAAGCCCTAAAAGGTATGCGAGGGTTTTATTTTTGACCCTAAA